AAGATTGGACTTGATGATCCTGAAGGTCCTTTCCAACCATGGTGATTATATGATGACCCCCCTCAGCAGTGGGCCAACATTTTCCCTGATCTTCTTGCTGCCCATGCAGTTGATGAAGCCCTTGCCACCCTGCACGTACCACACCTCTGTCACCTTTCAGCCACTATTTCAGCCCCTAGTTGTGTGTTATTTCAGCATTTTTAAGAGAAGTTGGGGTTGCCTTGGGATCAGCAGAGTTGGAAACACTCCACTCCCTGTTTCGGGTGTGGTGCTTTGGATTGCAGGCCCAATGTGCATTTTTGTCATTTGGCAGACCCAAGTAAGAGTTGTTAATTGTCTCGTAGGCTCCGGTGGAGCGACGCACGGGAACGAGCGGCGGCCGTACGGCTTCTGGTGGCCGCCGGAGCCGCGCTCGGAGGAGGAGCTGAGACGGCAGAGGCTGCGCAGGTTCGAGAGGCAGTGAAGCGGCCAGGTGCTGTTCAGCCACCCAGATACCTGCAGGTTTAGTAGGACTATGCAGATTTGCTGTGATATTATTCCATTTTTTTTTACTACTAATTGCAAAACTGCAGAAGATCTTGTGAGCTTGGGCTCAAAATTGGAACTCGTGTAAAAAGTGACATTTCTTGATGGGAATCAAGAAGACATCTTAGGCAGCCTCCGTCTTAAGGCACATTAAATGTGGACAAAGAATGATGATTTTACCAAACTGCCTTTTTTATTAAGTTCTTCTGTGAAGCTTCAAGAATTCCTTGGCCTTATGACTGCTGGTATTCTCAGACAACAGGCTTTCTTCATCTATCACAGATAAAAAAAAAAAAAAATTACAGTTTTTACACAGTTTAAGTCTATGCAGTTTTTCCTTACAAACTTGTCACTGTCTACAGCAACTAGCTATTTTGGAGACTGGCACATGAGATGTCACTTAAAAAGATAGCTCTAGTGACAGCAGCTGGATCACACAAGTCCAGGTATGAGTTTCTCAGCTGTCTCACAAACTGTGGAGAAGTTGCAGGTGCCCTTGGCCCGTGGGGCTGTCCCACTCCCCCGGCACTGCTGCCGTTCCACCTGCAGCCTGCACGTGGTAAAAATGAGCTGTAACTGCTGCTTATTTTGTAAAGCCTTTCTTAATATTTGTTTTAAACAAAATGCTTCCTTTAAGAGTTGAAATAATTTAAGTGTTTATGGCAAGGGAAGTGGATGTGTTGTACAAAGAGTATATTTTTTTAGTAACTTATCCTTTTTTCAAAGCATCTATTTCCCGTTTGAGACAGATTGGAAATTGTATTGTGTACATGCAGCTTGAGACTGTTTCTCCATAGCCACAGAATAAAGATCAGATCCTGAGCTGACTGTTCTATGCTCACTGAAGATTTGTGTTAAAAACCTGCCCATGGTTTGCTTATTTTTCTCAGTGGGTATTATATGTAAATGAGGAGGAACCAGTGCTAATTAGTTCCTCAGACTAATCTTTATTGCACTGGTCAAAAGTTGTGTAACTCACTGTGTCTGTTCAGCTCTATTTTAATTATTTAAAACCACTGGATTAGCCACTAGTCCACTGGAGGGAAAAAAAACCAAACACACACCACCACAACTTGCACACAATTACAGTTTTAAATGCACTTGTTTTTGGAAAGTGAGGTCAGAAAGACTTGCTGTTTAATATTCACAGAAATTGTCAGTACTAATTATTGGTCTTTTTTATGTACAAAATTGAAATAAATATTTTTTTACATTTAAAACTGTCTTTTTTTATTGTCATTAATGTGTGTATTTTAAATCAGCTGCCACCATATTGTTAAAGACAAAGATGTGTGATACTGAGGCAGACTGATGATGTTGGGACTACTTGTGTTTCTTTGGAATTCAGTGGAAGTTCTGGGATTGGATTATTGGAAAGTGTTCTGACACTTAAAGTATTCTGTGGAGTTCATTAATGGAATGATTCCTGTAGCAAGATTTTTACCATTGAGGCCCCATCAGTTTAGGTTTCAGGGCCCCAATGACAGTAGATGTGAGGTGCAGATGGATTCCTGGCGTGCTCTGTTGCACTTGATCTCTTCAGGGACAGAAATTAGGGTCAATCTGCAGAGCTCACTACTCCCCACGGCGCGTTTCTGACACTGTTTCATGCCTGACTAGCTCTACACAAAGTAAGGATACTGTATGAAAAAGCAGCTTTGTATAAAATATTATAGCATCTGAGGATCAATCCCTTTGCTGCAGGAGCCGTGATTTCATGTGAATCTTGTGTACCTCCTCCAAACTCCATGATCATGTGCCATGTAAGAAATTCCACCCCCTTAATTAATCCCCATCAGCAGACTTGTTAACAGGCGCATTCGTGATATTTAATGGTTGAATGACATCATGTATTAGTGCTAATAAATAGTGGTTTCCTGCAGTCCAGACTTAAGATGTGGTGAAAGTACAGTGTGTTTAACTTTGAAAAGTCTTTTATCTTTTCTGCTTTGTGTGACCTGCCCATGCTCTAAGACGTGTGATTTTCCTGGCAGCACTTCCCTTAAGGTGGGAAAAATGCCCTTTAAAATACCAAGAAAATGGTATTTGTATGTTCCACTCCACTACAGGACAGGCTGTGCTTGGTGAGTGCAGGTGGACATAGAGTTCTTGGATCACAGTCTGTCCTGCCCCCTGACCTCTGGGTGTGAGGGGACATACTCAGGGAGGGGGATTCCCCTGGACCAGCCTCCTGTCAGAGCAGTTGTCCTGTCTGAAGCTTTATTTTCCAGGTCTGCCTTTCAAGCAAGGTCTGCTCGCTAGTGAGGTGAAAGAGGAACACCAGAGTTTTCATGGTCTGTTTTGTCTAATGCCACCTTGTTTACTTTCACCTATCTGCTGAGTGTTGCTCCTAGAGCTCCATGGGTATGAAGGATGTAGCTGGAGACAGTGAAGGGACTGGCTGCTTGAGAGAAGCTTTGCCTTTGGTTTTTTTGATGCAGTTTTATTTGGAAGTGAAAAGGAGAATTAACTCTTGTCATTAGATGTAACTTGTTCTTACCACATATGTACAGATGAGAAGAGCCAAAATATTGGATCTGAAATTTCATGATATATTTAAGTCTGTGGAAGGAGCAGCAGCTCTGTCTGTGTTAGTCTGGACAGTCCCACAGAGTCCTGTCTTATGAAAAACAGCAAAGGAAGCAAAACCAGCCACATTTCTTAACAGCAGATCAGGGCTCAGGCTACACAGGATTTTTTTTCCACTGGTTGCCTTCCAGAAGCTCTGATATGGAGGGACATGAAGGAGGGAGAAGAACCTGGTGCTGCCCGGAGGGTGTGCCAGGAGTGGAGCCAGACACCAGCCCCACTCCTGTCCCTGCAGGTTGGCCAGGGTGGTGAGCGAGCCACTCTCCTCAGCTTCCAGGAGGGTTCCAGGGCAGTTCTCCCCAGTGGCTCCAATTCCAGTGACCTCCAAGTGTTGCCAGGGTTGTTTTCTGTGTGGCTGTTGATACCCTGCCTGCTGCTGAGGACAAAATTCACCTCTGTACGGGCCCCCACCAGCTCTGAAGCTCCTGGACGCAGCAGCTGGGGGAGTTTGGACTATAAGGCCTGGCACAAGGCTGTTGCCTTTAGGAGTGTCTTCACTCATGAACAGTTCCAGCTATTCCTTTTCACACATAATTATGTAATTAGGTCCCCTTTGAATAATTTACCAGCTATTTTTCTGCTTACAGTCACTGGACAAATGACTGCAGAATTAAAGCATATGCTGCTTTATGCTTTGAGCTGTCTTATTTGCTTTGCAGTATTAAGCAATTTATCTATAATTTGATTTTGAATTACTATGATGTTTCTGACAAACGCCTTACGGAGTCAGCTAAGTGTGAAACGGGAATTTGCACTCACAGTAAGTATTCCGCCTCTCGGTGGTAGCTTAAAAATACATCCATATAGCACATTCTTACAGAACATCATAAAATGTAATGGGCACGGGTGCAAAAACTTCACACCAAAATAACATGAAAACAGGGATCGTTTGCATGGTAGTTTTCCACTAAAGAACAAGGTGGCAAAACGCCATGTAATGGCTTATTTAGATTATCAGGTCTTTTTTGATTCTCTCGGATGTTTTTAAGATTTTTCTGTGTACTTGTTCAAGTTAGGCAAACACAGATCCAATTCCAAAACCCCATTTTATTCCAGCTTACTTACCTCCAACCTGTCTTACAGTGACCAAGTTTGCAGTAACATATCGTGCAAGGTTTTCTTTGTGGCTCACCTCGGTGCAGGTAGCACCAAAAGCCCCCCTGTAGGTATTTCCAGCACAGCAACTGCCCTTCTCCAGGGTGCCTGACCTGAAGAGAGGCTGCCGGTGGGTGTCATGGTGCCAGCGAGCCCTGCTGGGGAAGCCCTTGGGTGAGGCCCTCCCAGGGGGTCTGGAGGTTGGCCCCAGTGAGCCCTGCACTGCTCGGCAGAGCTCGCCTGGCTCTGGCAGCAGGAAGCTTGATGTGGATCTTGGTCACCTTGAAAAATCCTTTTCCTGGGGCACTTCTCTCCGTGAACACAAATTGGAATGAAAAATGCTGGAAAAAGAACACGTTTTATTCTGTTCTAGTAAAAGACAGCTTATTTAGGTGATAGAAGGAGCATTTGTGGCCCTTCTGCACAGGCTGAGTTCCCCGTTTTGTCTGTGTTTTCAGTAGTTTCACCGTGATTCAAATACATGTTTAATAGTTCAGGTTTATGTAGCTGAATGAAGGAGGTACAAATTTGGCTGTTTTCAAAAGGTGATTAGTGCTTTAGCTTCCAAACATTTTAACAATCATCGCTTTAAAAAATAAAAACACATTTCTAGAGCTATGATTTCATAAGGGTCTTAAGGGTGAGGGTTCATTTTTCTGGTGATGTATTTACAAACAAAAGCTAAAAATGAACAAAAGTCGTTAGCTTTAAGTTTAGACAGTTGTCCTAATACTGCTTATATTCATCACTCAGGTAAGTTCACCCATTTTATCACCACACTACTATCTCTTTTCAATTAATATTAGCACCTGCTTTGTTTCTTCACCTACTTGGGTGGGAGCTTCATATTTAATGTAACTGCTCTTAGAAATTAATTGTGTATATAAATACAGCTTTTTTAAGGAATCATTATCTCAGCTAATTTTTTTTTCTGACTGTTAAACCGATCTGCAACTTTTTCTTGCCCAGTTAACTGTTTCTTTGCAGTTTAGTTCAGGACTGGAGTGGTAAAAGACTTGGATCTTCATTGGCTTTATTGTGAGGTTTTTTTAAACAACTACGTTTCCCCCTTCCCTGAAAAAGCAGGTGCAAGTTTGTTTAACTCTGGAAATTCAGTGATGGGGCTTGAAGACATATTTGTATGGTTGCACATCTGTAGCTATAGGGTTAAATATTTCTAACTTGCCATATAAATGTATGTGCCCTTCCTGCTGCAAGTGCTGCTTCTGACAGGAAGTCCACGGTCTTGCACAG